AACCCCATACATTTAACCCGTAACTTTTCCCCTGCCACCTAAACTTAGATATACCCTTTTTCCACTGTTTAAAATGGTGCATCAGTAATCAAAGCAGGTATTGATTGAAACAAAAACATCATTCTAGGCAAGACATTCATTTTTATCACAGAAATTCTCCCCTATAATGACAGGTGTAGTTTCTTCCACTTTAGCACATCATTTTCTAATTTAATTTCATGTCTTAATAGAGTAAATTTGAAATAACATACAATCCATGTATGTCATAATGATATCCAGATATTTTACATCCATTTAAATCTGTTTTATTTGTCAATTCTTTTTGATCATTTGTTAACATCTTCATCTGGTGTTTATAGATCTTAAAACCTGCTTATCTACCAAATTCTTTCAGTTTTTTCCATTAATGTTTCAATTCCCTTTAAAGGATTTTCTACAACCAACACTAAGATCTGCAAAAGCCCTTAACTTTCAAGTTTCTTTTTAATCTTTGTATTTCACAATGCATTGCTAGATCTCCGTTAACAATTATTGGTGCTTTCTGTGAAGTATAAATTGATCTTACCCATTTTACAAAGTTTTCTTCATAGTTCATTTCTTCCAGAACTTTGAACAAGAAAGTCGAGTTCAAATGGCCACAGGCCTTCTTTACATCTAAGGAAATCTATACGGCTTCTTTTTCATTATGTTGCTCCAAATATTCCAACATATCCAACACATTTCTAATTTTGTCCTTTAACTGTCTTTTACATAGAAGCATACCCTGACCCTCATGAATAAATTCTTGCAAAACTGATTTCAGTCTAATCAGACAAAATCATTGTAAACTACTTGCAGTCATTATTCAGGAATGACATCAGCCTATAGTTTATTGTTAAAGTCAAATCTTGTCCCTCTTTAATGCTGTATTGGCCTCTTTCCAGTTCTCTAGCATCCTTCCTCCCTGTAAAATAGAATTCATTGTATTTTATAGAGGTTGTAACAGTTCATCCTCAAAACATTTATAATAAGAATCTGGTAATCTGGTCCTGGAACCTTCCTAGTTTAATTTTTTTTTATATAGCTTCACAGATTTCCCTTATTGTTATAGGTCCATTGATAATCTGTTTCTGTTCCTCTATAATCCTGAATAAATGTTGTTTCTTTAAGTATTCATCTATTTTTTCCAGAGAAATATCTTCTCCTTTATGCAACTTAGAATAATATTGATAAAATTCTTTTTGCCTAGCCATGTTATCTATTAATACAGTATCTTGCTTTGTAGTTTCAATACCATTTTGTTTTCTTTTTCTTTTCATAGTTTTCGTAGTCAACCATTTCCCTGGTTTATTTGCGAACTCAAAGAAGGTGGGTTTTTTTGCCTTATATAGTTTACTTTTATTTCCATTTCTCTTACTATTAACAAAGATAACTGTTGTTGTAAAAGTTTAATTTGTTGAGAAATACTTATTTCAGGAATGTACTTTAATTCTTCTCACGTTTTCTCTTCTTTTTGAAACATCCTCTGATAAAAGCTCTACTTGCGTCCCAAACCATTCTTAAATCAGTATTGTTATCTAAATTATCTTCGAAATATTTTTTAATTTCTTTTTACAATCCACCACTATTCCTTCTTTCTACAACAATATTTTGTTTAGACTCCAACTGAAAGAACTGGATTTCCTTTTATAAACCAGATCCACAGTATTCTGATAAAAAAAACAAAGTATTTGGTAGTATCTCTAATTTTATGAACCTTAGTAGCCAAGTGATTTGAAATCCAGTCTTCTGCAATGGCCGAGAAAATGAATAAAATGGCCAATGGATACACAAACAATTCATCCCCCATTTTTTTGTCAGCATTGCACAAATGGGAATCAAGTGGCTGTGGGGAGTAATAATTCAATTGCCTTTCACCCTTTAATAACAGTCTCCATAGAGGACAGCATGATGTAGTAGTTAAAGTACATGGATTAGGAGCAGGGATATCCATCTTCTAGTCCAGTGATGGCGAACCTATGGCACACGTGCCACAGGTTGCACATGTAGCCATATCAGTGGGCACGCGAGCTCAGCTCCAGCATGTGCATGCTGATTTTTGGGCTTTCTGGGCCCACAGAAGTAGGGAAACAGGCTGTTTCCTGCCTCTGGAGGGCCTGGGAGGTGGTGGAGAATTTATAACTAAAATTCTGGGCTCCATTGTCGTCCTAAGTTGTAAATGACCATGGGGATGCTGCAATGGTTGTAACTGTGGAAAATGGTCATAAGTCACTTTTTTCAGTTCCATTGTAACTTGGAACAATCACTAAATGAATTGTTGTAAATCAAGGACTATCTGTAATCTGTTTCAGAAGAAGCTTAGCTGACAAATAACCTTACTTTCTCATAGTCGGGCCTAGAGCAAGAAGGACAATTTGATTATCTTTTTCAATACATATAATTAAAGCATGAGATTCAGTGCCACAAAATATAATGGACCCTAGCTCAGATGGCTTTGAAAGAAGTGAAGGCAAAATTAGAGCACCAAATCACCAACAGATAACTATATATTTTCAGAGGCAGTGAAGCTTGGACTATCAGTTTTGGAGAACATGACTGAAAATGGACTAGAACAGTGATGTCTAACCTTTATGCCATCATGTGCCAGGAGGGGGGAGGGGTTTGCACGCGCGCGTGCCCACATCCATAATTCTATGTGCCCTGCCCCTGCACATGCGTTCGTGCCCCCCCCCACTCCTGGCATGCAATGGCCCATTAGGCCGTTTTTCTCTCTCACCTGGCTCCAGAGCCTCTCTATGAGTCTGGGAGAGGGCGAAAACGGCCTTCCCCACCCCCCGGAGGTCCTCCGGAGGCCAGAAACTGCTCATTTCCCAACTTCCAGTTGGACAGGAAGTGATGTTTTTTGCTGTTTCCAGCCTCCAGAAACTCTTAGAGAGACTCTGGAGGCTGGGGACAGCAAAAAAAGTGATTCATGACCATTTCCCACAGTTACAACCATTGCAGCATCCCCATGGTCATGTGATTTACCATCAGATGCTTCGCAACTGGTTCATATTTATGATAGTTGCAGTGTCCCGGGCTAATGTGATCCCCTTTTGCGAACATCTGTCAATGGGGAAACCAGATTCATTTAACAACCGGTGTTACTAATTTAACAACTGCAGTGATTCACCTAACAACAGTGGCAAGAAAAGTTGTAAAATGGGGCAAAATTCACTTAACAAATGTCTCACTTAGCAAGATAAATTTTGGGCTCAACAATGGTCGTAAGTCAAGGACTACCTGTACAGGTAATCCTCGACTTACAACTTAGGACAACAATGGAGCCCAGAATTTTAGTTATAAATTCTCACGGATGTAAAATTGATTCAGATTTATAAGCACTTTTACATTGGTTGTAAAGCAAGTCACCAGAGTGTGAAACAAATCACGTGGTCATTAAGTGAATTCATTCTTCCAAATGGGTGGTTTTTTGCCAGCAAAAAAAATGTCAGAAACTGGCAGAAAACCATTACAAAACACAATCATTTGACTGTGGGATGTTGCAAGCAGTCATAAATGCAGGTCAGTTGCCAAGCACCTGAAATGCAAACACATGACTAGAGGGGACAGTAGTTCTAACTTTGAGCTGAGTCATAAATAATTATTTTGAAATCTGTCCTAACTTCCAATGGTTGTTTAGCAACTGGTTGTAAATCAAGGACTACCTGTACTTTCCACTTCCTTTGTGAACAAATTGTTTTGCTTGAGAACTTACTGAACTAGGCTAAAGGAGAAATCTCACCCATTATTTTCAGTTCACCATTTATTTACAGTTTCACACCAATAAAACTCAAAGGCAGAATTTAAAATACAGAAACATAAATATAAAATATATAAATTTTAAAATACATAGCAATAACAAAAAAAACCCCAGCATTCTGAATTACTTTGCACAGATAGAAACTCACCCAACACTACATTGGATGATGTTTGTAAATAAACCAAAAATGACAAGAAAAAGGATGGGCAAAAAGATAGAAGAGACTATTAGAGACGTTTGTTTCTTGTAGTAGATTTTGTGGGGGAGAGAAGAGGCAGGGAAATGATCACAAGCACTATAGGAAAAGTAAAAGGAAGAGCAAATAATGATATTTCTGCTGGAGGAAAAAAATTTAATAAAAGAGCAAACAAGACAAACAGTATGCTTTGTTTACTGTTTATCTTTTTTCTTTTTCTTCAAAATTCAAAGTGTTATGAGATCAGTAAGATCCGCATGGAGGTGAGAATAACAAAAAAGCACAGAAGGAAACATTTGGTTCAGTACATTTGGTTGAACTTCACTGAGCAGGAACTGAAGAATGATTCCCCCGGGTGCTGAAGGAACTGGAAGAGGAAGCCTCAGAGCCACAGATATTTATCATGTAGAAGAGACATGGAGGACTAGCAAGGTCTCAGAAGGCTGGGAAACAGTAAATGAAATCTTTCCTTTTTGAAAATGTCACTTTGATCAAGAAAGAGTGGAAAATGATGAAGCTACTACATCCATTAAGACAATGGATTATAAAGTAATGCATCAGAAGCAGCTTAAAGAACCAATAAATTTATCAATCTGGCAACAGAGCAAATGGCTGTAACAAAGAAGCAGCTGGGGAAATGAAGCAAGACTTTTGATTCAACTTCTATATTTCATCTTCCATCTGTATGTTATTCGATAATTCCACTGAATGCTATGCTGCCAGAATAAACTGGCATAATACGATTATAATATAAAAATAAATGAATATCTTACAATAAAAAGAACCCAATGAGCATTGGTAATCTCCAATCTGCATTCTGGTCTCCATAGCCCATATTTTGAAGCCCTGAATCATCTACCACCAAGGTTTCCTACTAAAATTCTTTAGCAAACAATAAACTACCTCATCCATTAAGAAAACGGAGTAGACAAGTTTACTACATGCAGAAAAATATGAGAACAACAACAACAACAACAACAAGTATTTCCACTAAAATGATCTGAAACTCCCATTTTCCCTTACCTTTGGGCTGTGTAATGGGTTGTGTAACCTTGAGAGACAGGAGGAGAGCAGCCGCCTAAGTATCAGTCTGGTGAAAGAAATCTGAGTCCCAAGCAGAAATGGGCTGGATAAAATGTGTCAGAATTGATCCTCCCTAGTTCTCTGCAATGAAAAGGCAAGGGAGGGAGGATTTCAGACTTGTGATATGACTGTAACAGTGGTGGGTTGCTCCCGGTTCTGTCCGGTTCTTGCGAACCGGTAGTAAAAGTGGCGGGAGGCTCCACCCACCCGCCCGGACGTCATAATTGACGATCTGCGCATGCGCAGAGGCTCCCATTACAAACCGGTAGTAAAGGTAAGTAGAACTCACCCTGGACTGTAATCTTACAATAAAAGTAGTACTGGTATTAGTATTCTTGGTTCTGGACTACCCTGAAGGGCTGCCTACTGAGGCTCTTTACACTTGAAAATGTAAAATGTATCTCACACACCAGGTGCTCCCGTCATAAATGAAGCTAAAGAGTTACCAAGATGAAGCTAGTTGCATCTAATTTACAGTTGCAATACTGCCTCTTGCAGAACTTCCTGCTATTTTAAATGGACAACTAAAATGCAAATACACACACACACACACACACACACACACAAATATTAAAACTAATTGTAATTTTTATAAAATGTGCCCCAGTTTCATCTAGGTTATAAGAATTCTAAATTTATTTTATTAAGTAATTTATTTCATTAATTTATATAGCCATATATCTTGCCATTGTAACTCTGAGTGGCAAACACAGCATTAAAACTAAAAGCACATGCAAATAACAACAGCAGCAATAACGTAATGGCACCCACAGACAAATTCAACATATTTGCTTCTGAATACAATTCAAGGTGCTGGTTGTCACCTTTAAAGCCCTTCATGGCAGGGGTGAAATCTAAAAAAAATGCTATCGGTTCTGTGGGCGTGGCTTAATTAGTGGGTGGGGCTTGGTGGTAAGGTGACTGGGAGGGCGTGACTTGTTGGTCAGGTGGGCGTGGCCAAGTCAATGTCACTTCTTTGCCCTTTTTTAACCCACAAAACACAACACAACACAACTGGCTCACCCACAATATAAAAGCAGCTGTGCTAGACCCAAAATGGCCCCTGCAACAAGCAGGAACCTCACTGTCAGGAAATTTCTCCTTAGTTCTAAATTGCTTCTCCCCTTGATTAGTTTCTACCCATTGCTTCTTGTTCTACCCTCAGGTGCTTTGAAGAATAGTTTGACTCCCTCTTCTTTGTGGCAACTCCTGAGATATTGAAACGCTGCTATCATGTCTCTCCTAGTACTTCCCTTCATCAAACTAGACATACCCAGTTCCTGCAACCGTTCTTCATATGTTTTTGCCTCCAGTCCCCTAATCATCTTTGTTGCTCTTCTCTGCACTCTTTCTAGAGTCTCAACATCTTTTTTACTTCGTGGCGACCAAAACTGAATGCAACATTCCAAGTGTGGCCTTACCAAGGCATTATAAAGTGGTATTACCACTTCATGTGATCTTGATTCTATCCCTCTGTTTATGCAGCCCAGAACTGTGTTGGTTTTTTTGGCAGCTGCTGGCTCATATCTAAATGGTTGTCCACTAGGACTCCAAGGACTCCATTTGGCTGTGTGTTGTCACCAATGGGGAGAGGTATTTTTTATTTTCAATTTTTTTTCTCTACTGTGTTTTATTGCTTGTAAGTCGCCTAGGGACCCCATGCCTGAGGGAATATCTAATATCAGAACAATCTGTGGCAAAGGCCTTAAGTCTAAAATTGCCTGGTGCCTTTTAAACAAGGTTTCTTGACAAGCATGTCGTATTAACGGAACGTTTTAAAAATGGAATTTATGAAGAAAGACACTCTTATCTGAATAAAGCAGCTCATACCATCAGTTACTGCTGCTTTACTCTCTGGAGTGTGAGCAACCTCGTTATTTTTCCTCTGTCCAAATATATTTCATGTTATAAATAGCTATTGGTGTCCTCTAAAACGCTTATGTTTGTAATTCACTTCTAGCTTTCAAATTCAAAAGCAGGAAGCTGATGGGTGATCCATTAAAGAATACAGATGAGCAAAGCTGGCTGAGGAATTCTGGGAGTTGAAGTCCACAAGCCTTAAAGTTTCCAAGGTATGAGACCCCTACCCTAAAGGAGATCTGAATCTCTGGAATTACACCACACCAGCCATGTTTGAGAACGGAGCCAATTCAATTGTGACCCACGTTTGGCTATTTCAAGATATGGTCAACCATTCTGTATTGTTCTTGTTTCAAATGCCACGCTGTGTGAATGTGTGGGTGGGTTGTATCCCCATTTGCAGGAGCCACATCACTGTGACTCTCGCTTCAGCTTTTTCAGAGCAAAATGCTCGCTGCCTTCTCATCTCTCCCACATATGAACCACTGGGGATTTTGGCATACGACCAGGCAGCTGCACACAAAATAAAATACGAATATTGGGGTGGAGTAGTTCAGGCAATTTAGTTTATCTCCTTTTTGCAGGAGTGAGAATGAGAGGATTTTTGTTACCGAAGGACCTGTGGCAGCTTAGGAATTTTGTTTGCTAGTTTTCAGGGGTTTCAGTTTGGTAGATTTCAAGATGGTTACAAATAATTTTCAAGCTGCTTTTGAGGAATTAAAGAAAGGGAGTCCAGTGGTGTCGAAATGCCCTACATACATACACTATCTTGCCAGAATGTGGGAGTCATATATTACTTGCAAGTATAAAGTGTCACTGACTGTTTCTTTTGTGAGTTATATCCCTATACTAAAGGATTTGTTGGGAGAGAAGCTCAGGTTCAATCATATTCTTTCTGTCCTAAATCATTGTTCATCTTTGATTTATTTTTCTAGCAAGTAATTCTATTAGTTAATGCAGAGTTTGATGAACCGTATCATAATCCGGTGGACAGAGCTAAATCTTTGTCCAATGTACTTTAAAAATAGTTAATGCAATTGGGAAAAGAAATTCTAAATGTCTTCATCTTTCTTTGAAAAAAGAAAATGGGAACATTCAGACAAAAAATATAAGACATGAGCCTGATGATCTTGAGCTGGCTATTTTTATGAAAATTGCTAATAATAGCCCAGAAAACTTTAGCAGATTCCAGGACTCCTACACTGAGACGCAATTGCTCAGCATGAATAGCGCTCACCTGCCAAAAGTATAATCAACAGAGAGCCCTAGGAGAGTTGTAGAAGATAAGATGTGAGCATGCATAAACACTCCAATTCAACAATATCTAGAATCTGTGTAATCAAAAAGATGGTCTACTCATGGTGGTTGGGGAAAAAAATGATAATTCTTAGAGGAGTCACATGTGCAGGTTTCTGTTTAAAATGCAGTGAATTAAAAGCATGGGAAAAGTTTTATCTGCTTAATGCTGACTCATGCAAATTGATTTTCATGGGACTTAAACATATCCACTTTCTCAGGAAAGTATCCCACTGCATTTTCATCTGAAATGCAATAGGTATGCCACCTTCTTGAAGCATAAATTGGAGACAGTGCTCTAATTTTAGGATGGAAAAGCAAGTAATCCTGGGATATAAAGTATTACAAAGGTCCTTCATTCTTCTTTATACCTTATTTCACATAGTAAACACTAAAAAGTCAATTTTAGGATGAGCTGGGCTCCCTCCCTGCCTTCAAAACCTGGAACTGACCCAGTTCTGCAATTCAGCCTAAACAGTGACAGATCCCCAGAGAGCCAGAAGCTTTTGTCATCATACTCATTTAGAACTGCCAAAATATGTGGTGGTGGGGTGGGGGGAACCCTTGGCCCTGTTCCTATGACTCTAGCTGTAGCTTGACATACAGAAATTAAGCAAGTGAATCTTTTCCCATTGCTTTATTTCCTGGCCAGGAAAAGCTTAGCCTTCCACATTGTTTATGTGTCAAGCTCCAGTTAGAATCACAACAGCTGGGCACATGAGAAGACACTAACTCTAGGTTACTGGCTATTTAGTCAGAAGGCAAATGGGATTGCGTCCTTAATGTTTTAGTCAACGAATCACACTGGTTAATTAATTAAACCTGCAGTTGTGTAGCTACTATGCTTTCTTCCACCAAGCACAAGCATGTTCACATTTCATGAAAGGAAGCATAACACTGCATTGCACAAATGCCCAAGTTGAAATCTCCAGAGTGGCAGGTCATTTCCAAAATAGTTGGATTTGATCCAGGGTACCACTCTAAAAAAAATGACACCACATGCAATGCTTAAAGAGGCAGTAAAGAAAATGTATTAAATGCTTAAGGAATAACCACAATATCCATTAAATAATGTAATTGTCTTGTGTTTACTATTTGAAATAAAGTATGAAAAAGATGAAGCACCTTTGTGATACTACATAACCCTTGATTACTCACTTTTCCAACCCTTCCAAGTTGGGTTCTTTATTTTGTTATTTGTTGCATACAGGAACAAAAGGCTCCCCATCACTATTGTATTTTCCTCACAAAAATCTTGAGTAAATAGACTGGTTGAGAGAAAATGATTCAAAGCCAATGATTCAAATCCCAGTAGGGATTTCATACTGGTTCTTCCCAATAAACACTATCAACACACTGGCTCTCCTCTTCCATTTCTTCAACTTAAATTAGGGATGTCCAATCCTGGCAATCCTTTAAAACTTGTAGATTTCAACTGCCAGAATTTCCCAGCCAGAATTCTGGGAGTTGAAGTCCATAGGTCTTAAAGTTACCAAGATTTGGACACCCTTGGTTTAAATGGTCTTTTTTCTGATGCTTAATGTTTTTAGCAAATATCTGTAGTCCTTACTAATATGTAGGCAAGATCCTGGAATTTCTTTCTTCCACCTGTTCAGTTGGCCTCTTCCTTACTACACTTGAACAAAAACGTTAAAACATATTTTAATTTTTTAGTTTCCCCCCATAGCTTTCATGCCCACATGCTGCCTGATATAATCACTTGATGCCATATACATTTTAAAATTTTTCCTGTTTTTTAAATTGGGTGAATTGGATGGTGCCATTTGGGATTTTTGGTTTTAATTTTAAACTGGTTTATAATATTATAGTTGTATGTTTGTGGTGTTACCTTTACTTTTTTA